TTTATTAGCCTACCTGCTTTTTATTTAGATGGTAGCAGATAAATAATGCTAAATGTCAGGTTTAAAATTACTGTGCTGACTTTAGTGGCTAAGAGGTATCAGTCACTTATTGGGTAGAAGACATAGGGAAATGTCACCTTTGGCTTGACACCTGTAATGATGTTTTCATTGCAGCTGCAGATGTGCGTAGTGGGAAAAGTCGCACCAATGGCTCAGATGAAGAACAAGAAGGGGTCAGTGCAATCAACCAGAATGTGGCCCTGGCCATAGCTGGGAATCATTATTTGAAGCCAAGTGGAGTAATGCTATCTTCCTTGGTATGTTGGTGCATATTTTTCTGGTTTTTTTTCATTTGTGTCTTTTCCCATGTTCTGATGGGAGAACCCAGCTTAGAGTAAGCAGCGATGGTTTCTTCTCGCTATGCTGGAAGGAATCATTGTGAGGCTGGCAGTCGAGGAGCACACAAGTCAGACAGGGTTCTGGCAACAGCAAGAGGTGTGCAGACCAAATTCAGACAGTCCCAGTGGTGCTGTGTTCAAGGTTCAAGAAACCAGGAAAGAGGAAAGCTTAGGAAATCTGAGATCATTGCAAAAGGAGATCAAACCAGGGCTCCCTGGGGTAGGGGGTTGAGCTCTGTTTATTCTACGTGTTTATTGTTCATACTATGCCTACCTCCAAAAAAAGATTGAAGAAGACTGGTAGCTTAGGGTGAGTGCTTTGTAAGCAAAAGACCACAGCTTTTCTAGGTCCCTCAGGAGCCTAGGGAACGTTCTTTGGCTCTATCCCTTTGCACCGACTCTGTGGCTTAAGGAGGGGCTCTTCAGGAATGCACCCTCTGATTCACTTACAGTGGGGTGGGATTCATCTCTGTTCGTTGAGGAACTCTGACTGTCCCTTGTCAAGACAGCATTGCATCCTCCAGCTAAACTTAATGTGACATTTCAGTGTAGGGTTTATATCTGCAGGGAGCTCAACTTGGTTCTCTGCTGCAAGGGCAGTGTCTTGACCTAACTCTTCTTTGCTAGAGGACTTTCCTGTCTCCCTCTGGCACTCAGCAACCTCCTACCCCCGTGAAGACTGGGGAGGCCTCAAGGCAGGGAGACAGGAAGGAGAAAAGACATTTGAGATTTGACATCACTGATCTTACAGCTTGAAAAATAGTGTGTGTTTTATGACCTTCTTCACCTTCCTGATATCCATCTTACCAACATCAGCCGTTTGAGGCGGTGTGTGCCTTTTACTTTATTTGCCTTTAAGGGGGAAACTCAAAAGCCCAAAGTTCACCTGTTAGAACATATTCCCTGTGAAGTGACATCTCAAGATATCCTTTACTCTTGTCAATAAATTCAGAATAATTAAAGTTAAAGTAACTCCGTAACCTCTATTATTTCCGTCCAAAACTAACATCCTCCTCACATCCAGATACCTCAGTGCAGTTTCACCACTGCATTCCACTGGATATTAGCTACGCTGCACGAACCGAGGGCGCAGCCTCATATTGTTGTTTGTGTTGATTTGATGAGTAATAGAAAGTGTGCTCAGCACTCTAAAATGAATACTTGTGGCCAAAGTATTAAAGCAAATAGCCTGAACCCCCCACACCCCTGCCCCCAGGCAAACATAAACTGTAGTTAAAGTCCCATTACGGCGGACTCCACCAACAGATTTGATTAATTTTCTGAACAGTTCATGACCCTTATGTTATATTTTGGACTATGTAGCAAAGAAGCTAAATCTTGAACAGTGAGGTTATTCATGGCACCCAGCCAGGTTAGTTCTCATCTGTGACTCCAGCCCTCTGCTATCCAGCATGGAGGAGAAATACCTGGAGATCTTAACAACACGAAAGCCCCTTTGTATCATTGAGATTGTAGAGCATGGCTGAATGCCAGGACAGATCACCACACCACACTGCTCCTAAGGCAGAGGATGCTCAGGTATGTGGCTGGACACCTGGCTCTAACACTGGCCCAGTTGAGCCTCTTGCTGAACAGCCCAGCTCCGAAAACACAGCTTCTCCTGCCTACACAAGGCAGGGCTCCTGGAGACAGATCCCTGGCCAAGGAAGTACAGTCACAGTATTCTAAGAGAACATTTTCAACTGTTCTGTTGTTTAACTTCTTCCCCCGCCTCCATCCCTCAAATCTACCTCTTTCCAGCCCTACAAGCAGTACAACATGTTGAATGCCGACACCACCCGCAACCTCATGATTTGCTTCCTCTGGGTCATGAAAAATGCTGACCAGAGCCTCATTAGGAAGTGGATCGCTGACCTGCCGTCAATGCAACTAAACAGGATTTTAGATCTACTTTTCCTCTGTGTCTCGTGTTTTGAGTACAAGGTAAGTGTGGGGTGGCTCAATCTTACCCCAGCTCTTATCTCCAAAGTTCAAGCTTGTCTTGTTACTCTTTCCCATTGTTTGGGCAATGGAAGCATCATTATTTTTTCTTATTTTTGTATTTAAATCTATAGCCTGTTTGCATTTATAGATAGTATCATTTTACAGGGAAAGGGTCTCTGCCTTCTGCAAAGAGAAGCCTATACCTGTTAACAGAATTTCAGCCCTAGGACCCCCCAGGACAATGTCTCTGTGTAACACATGTCAAAACTGGCTGACATCACTATGGAGTGTTCTGTTTTGACAATTCTTGACATCAGCAGAGATCTCACTGAACTAAGTGTCCTCCTGCCTCTGTCCTGTCCAGGGAAAACAGAGTTCTGACAAAGTCAGCACCCAAGTCCTGCAGAAGTCGAGGGATGTTAAGGCCAGGCTGGAAGAGGCTTTGCTCCGTGGGGAAGGGGCCCGTGGGGAGATGATGCGCCGCCGAACTCCAGGTGTGTTGCACTGGCCCTTCCCTGCTTTCTATTAGATAGTTTTTCACCCTTTGTGGGAAGTGATGTCTTTCCAACATGAACAGATGCCATCACTTTCTTGAGACATTTATGGCAATATCAGAGGCAGCACATTCTGGGATTCTGTGCTTGACATATATAATGACAGCCTTGTGCCTCTAAGAAAAAGTGATGTTCTGCGATCACAGGAAGCCTTAAAATGTCCTCAAATGACCTCTTTTAATTAAAACCTCGTAGTAAAAGGTCACATCCAAGAATGTGGGTCATGGATGAGGTGGAAAGTGTCTCCTCAAGGCTGAGGCCTCTCTAGGTGACAATTTGACTCGTCTCTCTGGAGCATGATCAAGAAACTGGATAGTTCTGGACCCAAGACCATCTCCCTAAATTGTCCATGATGCTATTAGAGTAGAACCACTTTCCCAAAATGGTTCCAGAGTGTTCCAGCTATCCAAGGACCCTACCACACCAGGAAAGATCTCAAAAAGGCTGAGCTCATCACTCTAGAAAAGAGTGAAATGCCCATGTCCCCTCAGTCTTATTCACTGTGCTCAAAACAGAGGGACAGCTTGTCCCGTTCAATGGGGCACAATGGCAGGGAACTTGGAGGGAGCTCAGCATTTTCAGCTGTGATCAGGCACCCTCATTCGACACCCACACTCTCCTTCCCAGTAACTCAGTGAGCCACCAGCATCTCAAAACCCTCTGCTCATGAGCAATGTGCTCCCCAACCCCACCAAAAGACAGGGGTTCTTCTTAAGTTCTAGTCTATCAGTCAAAGAGCAGACCAACCCGACACAGGCACAGCGACTTTGTCTCCTACCGGCAACCAGCATGGACTATAATTAGCCGGAGAAGTGGTGCTGAGGCCCTGCAGTTGAGCTTGTTAGGAACTTCTGGTTATCTTGGAGGGTTTCATGCTAATCAAATTCCTATCATGCATTTCTTAACTCCTAGGGAATGACCGATTTTCAGGCCTAAATGAAAATTTGAGATGGAAGAAAGAGCAGACACATTGGCGGCAAGCTAATGAGAAGCTAGATAAGTGAGTCACTCAGCAACTTTGTGTTACTTTTACCTAAAGTTCAAAACTATTTTTCCCAGGCTACTTGTATTACTGAAACAACTGCATCCTTCCAAGGGTAAGAAAATGAAACATCATTATCTGTGTAAATACAGTTCATCCAGGGACCCAGGATAATCAAAGGTATGAGTTGTGATTTCCAGCTCTTAAAATTTTATCATATTGATAAGCATTTAAAGGAAACTAATATTTATTTAGCAACCTCAGATGGCTTAATAAAAGCAGCTGATAAAGGGTGTGGGGAGGGGCAGGGAAATAGAGAAAGCAGAATACAGTGCCCAAGACCACATAATTTCAAATTCATATTTCCATTCTGGAAATGTATACAAAGATGTATATTCAGGAATATTTATGTCAGCATCACTTAAAAGTTTTTTTAAAAAATTGGAAACATTCTACATGCTAAAGAATAGGGAAATATATAACAAAATATTAGGTTGCCATTAAAATGTTTTGAAATCATTTTAATGACATGGGAAATGCTTATGATATAATGAGTGAACAAAAGTGGAATAAAACTTGATTTTAGAGTATAATCTCAAATCTCTAATGACATATAGTAAATACCTTTTTAAAAGGCTGAAAGGAAATTTATCAAAAATATTAATTGTGGTTTTCTTTGGGTGTTGAGAATATAGATAACTGGTGTTTTCTTTTTTATATTTGGTTGTATTTCCTACACTGGATGTGTATTATGAAATATATTGCTACCAGCGGAAAATTTATAAAGAAATGAAAGAAGAAAAATCCTGCTTGGATTACAATATATGGTATAGATAGCAATAGATATATTAATTTACATTGATATATATTGCTATATATGCAACAATTTAGACATATGAGGGCTAAAACTAAATATAGTATGTTTGGATAGATAGCGCATCTCCTATGCCTCTTAGCCACAGGGAGCCTAATGAATCCCAGGGTTTACTGAGCAAAACACCATATGGTTAAAGACACCCCCCTACACACACACAGTTGTCAGGCCAAGGTAGGATATCCCCGTGGTGTATGAAGCACCCATCATGGGGTGTGGGATGGGGCAGACTTGAATAGCAACATTGTTTTGTAAATAAATATGAGTTGATATCTTTGCTGTTACCACAAGAATGAATCATTCTGGTTCACTTATGGCACTTTTGAGAGGCAAATTTATTTTAAAACATTAAAGAGATAAATACATCTTTATCATAGATGCTTCTTGGAAAACCCAGTTGTTGGTATTTTTAACAATGCCTATTTGTTTGGGGTATTCTTACTCTAAATTCCCTGAACTGATTTATAAGATATTCAGATCTGACAATTCTAGTTCAGACAAGGAAAAACAACAACCAAAAAAAAAAAAAATGCATGCGGTAGGTACTACAAAACTGCGTAGGTGGTTAGCTCATCCACTCAGCAAGCCTAACAAGGCATGTTCTGCCTAGGCTGTGTAAATTCATATTTCCTTTTGCTAGCAGTAACACATGATGTTGGGCTATACCATGTATGGCCTACTGATTCTCTGTAGGTTGGTTCTCAGCCCTGACCTCACTGGTGGGATGCTCCTTGTCAGGGCTAATGATTCATATCTACAAATCCTTAGGGACATGGCCTTCTTTTCTTTCTTTCTTTTTTTTTTAAGGGAAACCATAGTAAAATTATAACTATTCAACATATCTATTTGGATTTGGAAAACTTGTTGTAATTATAATAATGGTATCTTTCACCTTTTTCTTTCTGATCACTTTTCAATTATTTCCAAATATTTTGGCTCTGTTTCTTTTAGAGCAGTAATTTTCAACCTGGGCAGCTTTTAAAGTTTCTAGTGTCAGGTGTACCCTAGACCAATTCAATCGCAAACTCCAGCAAGAACCAGGAATCAGTATTTGGTAAAACTCCCCAGTATTGTGCAGCCAAATCTGAGAACCACCACTTTAAAGGAGCAGATGGCAGACTTTTTAAAAACCAGATTGGTAGTGGTGATGGTTGCACAACAATATGCATGTACTTCATACCACTGAACTGTACACTTAAAGATGGTTAAGATGGCAAATTTTATGTTATATGTATTTTACCACAATAAAAAAATTTGGAAAAAAACAGGACACTCTAGATCTGCACTGTCCAATACAGTAGCCACTAGCTACATGTGGCTATTGAATGCTTGAAATATGGCTAGTTTGAATTGAGATGAGGTATAAGGGAAAAATACACACCAGATTTTGAAGTCTTAGTGCAAATAAAAGAAAGCGAAATATTTCACTAGTAATTTTTATATTGATAACATGTAGACAGTATTTTTGATCTTTTAGGTTAAATAAAATATATTGAAAATAATTGCACCTTTTTGATTTTTTTAATGTGGCTACCACAAAATATAAAATCATTTTTTCTATTGGACAGTGTTGCTCTAAATTTAAAACTGCTGGTAAATTAATTAAAAAGAGCTTTTAGATTTCACTTATTTTACCCAAACATTATCATTTGAAGAATAAGAAAAACATGCCAAGTATGTTGGGACCAGAGATCCTATCCTAAGCATGAAAACGTTTAAAACACACAAAAATATTTATTCTGAGCCCTGAATAGCATGTAAGCAACTGCAATGGCCCACCATTGGGTTAAGGGGACTCCAGAACAGCTAAGTGGTAGTCCTGGTTCAAGACACTTGAGCTGACATCATGATGCTCCAACCCAATAGTAACATCTTGGCCACCAGGCATCTTGGGAACAGCAATTCTTCATACTTTCCTTTCCTTACAACTAAATTTGGATGGTGATCAAGATACCACTTTCCAGCTTCACTTGGATTTTATGAGAGTAGACGGACTGACTCTACAGTGGTCCCAAACCTTTCTGGCACCAGGGCCCAGTTTCACAGAAGACAGTTTTTCCATGGATGGGGTGGAGGGATGGGGGAAGTGGAGCTCTGCGACCCGGTCCCTAAGAGCCCCCAGACCGGTACCAGTCCACAGCCTGGAGGTTGGGGACCACAGCTATAGTGCATAAAACATTCTGATACCTAATAGAGAAATAGCACCAGGCAATTTCCTGTCCCTAGTGGGAAATGACCAGGAATGTCCAGTAGGATGCTAGATCACCTGCCTCATAGGAATGCACCCTTGCTTCCCAGTGGAAAAGGACAAAAAAACCCCATCCACTTGGCTGGGCAATGCCAAGGTGGCCTTGAGGAAATTAAGAGACAGACTCTCCAGAAATCTGTTCGGAAGCACCACCGTTTCCTAACCCAGCAGCACCGTTTGCCAAATTCACGTTTCATCCCCTCTCCCTCTCTCTGCGTGTTGCAGGGGCTTCCCCTTGCTCAGATCTGGGAAGGTTTTCATGCATGAAATGTAGGCATGGCCCTGAGGCTTTAGGCACAGTCTAATGGGGGTAGCATAATTGCTAGTAGCAACCAATAATTGCTTCTCGACCCATATTGTTATTTTTAATTGTCATGATTGTTAATAATAGTGTGGATGAGGATGGCCTGGAGACTTTACGTAGACAATCTTTCTAACAAGGCATGGATCACAGAAAGACCCAGCACTCCTTAATTACTCATGGCCACCTGCTTTGTTTTCATTTCAAGGTTGACTATTCTGAAGATTTCTTTACGACTTGATGCATAGATTGCCATCATCGGAACCTGGCCAGGTTTGATATGCACTTTAATTTGACCTGTTTTTGTTTCTTAGAACAAAGGCAGAGTTAGATCAAGAAGCTTTGATCAGTGGCAATCTGGCTACAGAAGCAAATTTAATCATCTTGGATATGCAGGAAAACATTATCCAGGTGAGGACGACCAACACCTGATCTGAATATGTTAAGTAGAGTTTAATAAAGAATTCTTTATACAAAATCGTGAAAGAAAACATGATCACAAAGCACTGTTTTTTTAAAAAACGAAGTTGGGAAGCCTTGTATTTACAATAGTGTCCACCTTACAAATTCCAGAGATACCGAACATTCTTCTGGTTTCTCCAGCTTGCTGCCGACTTGGAAAGAGTCGGGTGCTTGATAAGCTAACCCTCATGGTTAAATCTGCCTGAGTATGTACACAGTTTATAATGTGGATGGTGGGCTTATAGTTTAGTATCTAGAACAGGGAGGGTAACTAGGTTTTTTCTGATGGGTTAACTCCAGTTGAATGATGGTCAATGTGTGGTATGGGAGCTGTAATTATGACCAGGCTAGGTAAAAAAACAGTGCTAAGTGTGATAAATGATGTCTGCTTTAGACTCAAATTGGTGAAGGAAAGCCATTTGTACCATGAATTTGCCATCCTTGCTGTAGACAAGTATAGGGTCACTGTGACCTTTGCACTGCACTAATTTCATCTTCTGTATGATATTTCCAAGAAGTTTAGGTTATAATGAGTTTTTAGCTACCCTGAAAAATGAGTCCTTACCTGTTTCCATTGAGAAGTCATTTATTAGAGTAGATCCAGTATTGCTTTTTAGAACTAGAAAAAATATTGTTGAAACAGTGGCATGTTAATTAGCCAACTTTTAAGTTGTCTAAAATCAAAGTAATTATTGTATAAAACTAAAGACAAAAAGTATGTGGTATCTTTGATGACTTTGATAACTTAAATGCATGGCATCATATTGATTGTATCTTTATACAGCTCGACTTTGAGTGTTTCATATCTAACACCAGTCCTCAAAATGTATTTGCAATTTTCAAAGCAGGCTGAAACTTTTTTGTAATTATCCTTGGTGGTGTTAGTCCTGCTGTAGCTGATAAATAAGCTTCTATTTAGAAACATCGCTGCCACCAAGCAGTCCCTGTTGTGCTGGGAAGTCCACAATTGTGTTTTGAAGCCTACAGAAAGCTTGTGTACAAAGAAAGAACATTCCAGAATCTGTGACTCAGAATGGGGAGAGATTATGCTTTACTGCTTCATTTAGGAACCCAGAATTAGGTATAAATTCAAAATCAATTGAGAGTATTGAAATAAAGTCATTTGGAAATAGGTCTTCAGCTCTCATGGTTGACAGATGACATGTTAACCATGAGAGCTCACCAAACCCTTAAGACCTTCCACCGAAAGAGATGAAACATCACACTCACTGTGCTGGTCATCAGCAGTGTCTCTTGTGTCTTTACCCTCCCAGCTTCCTGGCACAGTGCAGGGATTCAGTGATGCTGTTCTTCCATTCCCCTAGGCGAGCTCGGCTCTGGACTGCAAAGACAGCCTGCTGGGAGGTGTTCTGAGGGTCCTGGTGAATTCTCTGGGCTGTGATCAGAGTACCACCTACCTGACTCACTGCTTTGCGACACTGCGTGCTCTCATTGCCAAGGTAAACGTGGGACGCTTCTTTTCTTACTCTTAATTAAGAGTAAGATTCTCATCTAGCTTCACAGTTTTCTCTTCAGATGGACCAAAACCCACAGAGTATATTAAGTGGCATTGCAGAAAAGGTCTTAAGTCCTCCTAAGAAGAAAGCTGACGCACCAATTCTATGGGAAGTCACCATAGAGAAAAAAAACAGCGGCTCTCGTACTTGAAATGTGGGCCTAAATCTAGAAATTTGAAATGCCTGCTCACGGAAGCTCTGTGACATGAGAGCAAAATCAATTGAGCGACTTTGCAACTTCACCCTTTAATACCTCATCTTAGTGAGATTAAGTCCTATATCTGGCTCCCATGAGTATCTTTTACAAAATGTCATGTCAGAAAATTCCAGAAGGTTTAGAACTGAATTTCTCATAGCCTGAAGAATGTAGATTATCCTTGGGTAAAATGGTCTACGCAGATTATTTTTTTCCCCTTTACTGAAGATCTCAGTTGGTGCCTTCTCTGCAGGATCTTTTAAATTTAGAAAGTAGAATTCTTCTGCTCACCCCTATCAGGACCACTTTCTCTTTCTTAGTCACCAGTAATTTCCAAGGAACTCAGGAAACTCAGGTTTAATTCCTTCATAGTTGTGACTTCACGAGTGAATGCAAGCTGGCTAAGAATGCAGTTAATAACACAGCCCTGACCTTAGTTGTACAGTTCATAATTAAATCCTAAGTCGACTCTATTGCTTAAATTCATCCTCTGACTCACGTAGCTCATTATCTTTATGGAGCAATGCATTAACTCTTCTGGGCTTTTTGCTTGTCCAAGCAGACATTTGCATATTTCAACAGTCCAGAAAGCATATCAGAGTGCCAAGTGATGCCTAATGGTCCCTTGTGTCTCTCCTAGTTTGGAGACTTGCTGTTCGAGGAGGAGGTGGAACAGTGTGCAGACCTGTGTCAGCGAGTGCTACACCACTGCAGCAGCAGCATGGACGTCACCCGGAGCCAGGCCTGCGCCACCCTCTACCTCCTCATGAGGTTCAGTTTTGGAGCCACGAGTGTAAGAGCTCAGACCAGCTGGGTGACTTAGAATAGTAGAGAAAGTCAATGCAAAGCATTGGTTGAGAGAAAAACATAAGGAAAGTTTTACAGCATTGCAATTTACTTCTGTCCTGTGAGAAAGAAACAATTGAGCACCCAGATGGATAGCAGCTTTCATTTTAATTTGCATCTAAAAGTGAATGTCAAGATAGATGAATGCAGTGGTTTCTATCAGTATGCTTCAAAAAGAAGTGGAAGAATATATGTAGATTAAAATTTATCATCTGTGGGAATAAATACAATAGAAGGGTTAAGAATTCAGAAGAATGTGTCCTGTTTCTAAACTCTGGCTGGTACTAGAATGCCTTGTGAAAGGGAATTTTAAATGATCAGTATCATCTAGAGTTGAGTTTTAATCAAAGCTAAGAAGCCTTTGGAATTCAGCTTTATTATCAAACAGTCAACATTTGCTTTTAGTTTGTCTAGATTTTGTTATGTCCTTTTGGAATTTCCGTTTGTGGTTATGTTAAGCATGCTCACATGATATTAAAAGATAAATTGGCCCATGGAAGAGAGGCAGGGTTCTTAGAATATATTAAGGATTACTATTTAAAAGCCTTTGGGACTGTGGTTCCCAACCCCCACGCTGCAGACCAGTACCAGTCCATGGCCTGTTAGGAACCAGCCATACAACAGGTGAGCAGACAGCAAGCCAGCAAAGCTTCGTCTGCATTTACAGCGGCTCCCCATCACTCACACCACCACATAAGCTCCGCCTCCTGTCAGATCAGCAGCAGCATTAGGTTCTCACAGGAGCACAAACCCTACTGTACACTGCGCATGCGAGGGATCTAGGTTGTGCCCTCCTTATGAGAATCTAACACCTAATGATCTGAGGTGGAGCTGAGGCAGTGACGCTAGTGCTGGGGAGCGGCTGCAAATACAGATTGTCATTAGCAGAGAGGTTTGCATGATAAATGTAATGAGCTTGGTTGTCCTGAAACCATGCCCACCCCCGCCCCATCTGTGGAAAAATTGTCTTCCATGAAACCAGTCCCTGGTGCCAAAATAGTTGGGGACCACTGCTTTAGGACATTCCTCAGGGGCCCTTGGAATAGCCATCTTTCTCTTTGGACCTGGAAGAAAAGGAAAAAGAAAAAGTTGCACTTACCCAGAGTCCAAAATCTTAGAAATCCTCGCCACAGAGGTCCCATTCCTCTTTGCGGTTTAAATACAGTCCAAAGAAGAGAGGCTTGGCACAATAGGACATGCAGTATCCTGTGACCCAACTTTGTAGCAACCTTCCAGCTCAAAGCGCGGAGGCAGCCCAGTCCTCAATGAAAATTTAAAGGGGGCCTGACAGATTTATGTGAGAGCAGGATCCATTTAAACCATTTAAACAACAGTATGAATCTTGTGCAAAGTGTAGCTCACATTTTATTGAGAGAAAAGGAAATGATGTAAAAGAAACATCAGCAGTCGTTTTTGTCTGGCCTTGCTGCCTTCGATCACTGACCAGCCAAGTGCCTCTTACTTGTTCCGTATTTTTTTTCTTTTTACTGATGCAGAACTTTGCACGAGTAAAGATGCAGGTAACCATGTCTCTGGCATCCTTGGTGGGCAAAGCACCAGACTTTAATGAGGAGCACCTGAGAAGATCCTTGAGGACCATTTTGGCCTATTCAGAAGAGGACACGGCCATGCAGACGACTCCTTTTCCCACCCAGGTAGACTTGAAGCACATACCTTGACTCATGCATGGGTTTGGGATCAGCCAATTATTTTAGATATACATACATATATAATTTATATATAAATACGTAAAATCTGCAAATATGTATCGTCCAATATGCATATGATCTCAGTGCTCTGAAAAGTACAAAAACAAAAAAAAATACATCCACCACTGTCCCCAGCTTCAAGATGCTAATGGTCTATTTGGAGAGCTCAATCTCAAATTAGGTGGCAATACAAGACAACTGACACTTAAGTGACAAATGTATTGTAGGAAACTTAATGCTGTGTAAGGTTAAAGAAAAGGAAGGTTGATTAATAGACAACCTGGTGGCCAGGAAAGCCCAGGGGCCAGGAGTAAGATTGAAAGGCTGGGGAGGATTCAGGTGGGCAGGGGAAAAGTGAAGGGGGAGTTGTACCTAGTGGAGAGAATGAATTGTGTCTACGGGGATGATAAAAGGACCAGCTTTACTGCTGAGGGGTACTTGAGAGTAAGGAAGGGCCCAGTTAGAGACAGCTCGTAAACAAGCTTAGTCCTAAGGAAACTTGCAAGGACAGTAATCTCTTCCATCTCCATTATGTGCCCATCGAACTCTAGCATGTCTCATTATCTTTTAACTCCAACTCCTGGCCTACTCTATGGTAGGTTCTCAATTAAGTGAAAATGAATGAAAGAATGAATGATTTTTTCTTTATTCCCTTAGTCTGACAGCCCTGTTTGCACACTCTCCTGCCTGCTCTAGCAATTTCACATCCTCATTCTCTGAACCTTTTTCCTCTCCTCTCCTCTGCATCAAACTCTACCTCTCTTATTTCCTCTTGACCACCCTCCTTTCAATTAATCTCATCGTTTATGCAGATATTCACCAGCAAGACCAAGCAAAATATGGGTAGGTTAATAGAGGTCTTCAGTGCCTTCACTCAGTGAAATAAATCTAGTGGTGGAAATTTTAGGAGCCCTGGCAAGCTGGTAGAGGGGATGGAGGGTAGGACAACATTCTGTGGCTGAGCTACCGGCTAGGTCTAGAGATGAAGCCATAGTCCTCATCCTTTTTGTGCTGCAGGCCCCCCTGGCCACTTCTCTGTTGGCTTTTGTAGTTAAGAACAAGTGGCTGCAAGAGGTTCTAAAATCTCCGAAGCTCTGGGAAGATCCAGGAAACTTCTGAGATGTGAAACCCAAGCTAATGTCCTAAGCTGCCTCCTACTTGGTATAAAAAGCCCTGATGTTCCAGAGCAGAGTTTAGAACTTTTCAGGTTGCAAATAACTGAAACTACTTCAAACTATAATAATTAAAAAGGTGTTGGAGAGGGAGATAGCATAAGGATTCAGGGTTAATTCATGATATCAGGTGCCAGCTCACATCTGGGCTTCAGAAGCACCTGGACTTGTGAAGATCAAAGCCACGGAGAATGGGGTCTAGACTCCCCCACCACTCCTGACCTCTGCTGCTCTCTGAGTGGAGTGTTTCCACGGCTTCCCCTTGTGCTTTCAATGTAATCCTAACTCATCACCCAGGACAACAAAACCAAGATTATTTTGGGGCTTACACATCTTGCAGGTGGAGGAACTTCTTTGCAATCTGAATAGCATCTTATATGACACAGTGAAAATGAGGGAATTTCAGGAAGATCCTGAGATGCTTATGGATCTCATGTACAGGTGAGCTCTCCTGACACACTCAAAGGGCGTCAGTTCAGGGTCTCGGGTTTGTCACTGTGGAGTTCTTACTAATGTTATTACCAAAGGTAACATGGGTACAGTGTTTTGAATGACATCCGAACTGTATATAGAAATTGGTAGAAATTAAACATTCAGAATGGGTTGATTCATAAATGAGTTTTTGAAAAGATTTCCCCCAATTTAAAGTGAAGTACCTGTTTTATCTTCTACTTACCATAGAATGTGAGAAAAGAATTATCAACTATCATATGAATTATTTCCTGTATGGTTTTGTTCCAATTATATTCTGACATACATATATAGTTTTACTTTAGAAATCATATTTTAGTTTCAAACTTTGTAGTTTAAAACTCAGTAGTTTAAAACTTTGCCTTCCAGTCCTTATTCAGAAGAAACTACTTACAAAAGCAAAATTGTTCTGATGCAACATCATAAGAAGGGTAGTACTTTTGTCTTCTGTTATTATTTTGAGAGAAAGGAAAGAAAAGGAAGAAAATTGCTTGAGATCCATTAAAGTAGACATGATTTTATCAGGTCTTTTTTCCCCATAAGGCTTTTCCTAAGTGCTTTTCTTGGGGTCCAGCACACCCTACATATGGAATGAAAACAGTTGGACTAAAAAATATTTTTTCTTTTCTTTTGTTTTCTGAAAATGTGTGCAAAAGACTCAGGGTCAGGAGGGAAGTGGCCATACACAATAGAAGAACAGCGTCATTAACCAGTTGTCCTTAAAACTATTTCTCAATATGTCTTCAGAATTGCCAAGAGTTACCAAACATCTCCTGATCTGAGGCTGACCTGGCTCCAGAACATGGCAGAGAAACACACCAAGAGGAAATGCTACACGGAGGCCGCCATGTGCCTGGTACACGCAGCTGCGTTAGTGGCCGAGTACCTGAGCATGCTGGAGGACCACAGCTACCTGCCCGTGGGCAGTGTCAGCTTCCAGGTGGGGGCAAGTTCAGCTTTTCCTGTAGAGCAGTGGTTCCCCGTAGAAAAACAGGAGCAATTATTCCCCCCACTCTGGGGACATTTGACAATATCTGGAGATATTTTTGGTTATCATAATGGGAGTGGGAGAAGCCAGGGATGCTGCTAAACATTCCACGATGCACAGAAATTGCACATTCTACAAAGAATTTTCTGGCCCTAAATGTCAGTAATGCCAAGGTTGAAAAACCCTGCAAAACCGTGTGTTAATGTATTACATTTGTCTCTTCTAATTGCTTTACCATCTTGAGTTTTTTTTTTAATTACTGTTTACAATAATGGTATCTAGCTAGAGTCAACAGGCACTTTAGGAGACATTCTCATACACTTTCACGTGTGTGATCTCATTTGAACTTCCCCATAAACCTGTGGAGCAGGTATATAAGGAAGGTGTTATTACTCCCACTTCACAGATGAAGGAACTGAGAGAGCAATTTTTCTAAGGTCATTTAAACTTTTTTTTTTTTTTTTTTTTTTTTGAGACAGAGTCTCACTCTGTTGCCTGGAGTAGAGTGCCGTGGCGTCAGCCTAGCTCACAGCAACCTCAAACCCCTGGGCTCAAGCAATCCTACTGCCTCAGCCTCCCAAGCAGCTGGGACTACAGGCATGCGCCACCATGCCCGGCTAATTTTTTCTATATATATTTTTAGTTGTCCAGATCATTTCTTTCTATTTTTTAGTAGAGACGGGGGTCTCGCTCTTGCTGGTCTCGAACTCCTGACCTTGAGCGATCCACCCGCTTCGGCCTCCCAGAGTGCTAGGATTACAGGCGTGAGCCACCGCGCCCGGCCTCTGATTTAAACTCTTTCTCAAAGACTTGTAGTTGGCACAGGGTGCTAACATCCATGAAAGTATTCCTGAACATTGGGGAAATGATTTCCCTTATGACTCATTCCTTTGATTCCACTCCTTAGCTTCATGGGGCCCACTGTCTAATCCAAAATCAAGAATCAAATTGACCTAGGAAAGGCTGAATCAGTACTTTCTTAGGATAAGCTGAAAATTACCCACAGTTGGCAAAAGGAAATTGTCTGCCAGCCCTAAAAGCTGGCTCAGGCTGGGATGCGCAGTGGTCACTTGTACTGTCCTTACTGAATAGTTTAGTACGGTCTTTGGAGAGGAAAAAATAAGTGTTAAGTACTTTTTTTGAAAGAGACATAATCTGTAGAGATGACCATCCCTGAAAGCACAAACAATATAGCTACAGAAATAGAGCACTTTTCAAGACAGACTTACAACGTCACTGACAAGTGTCTGTATTATTCTTGTTTGAATTTACACAACTGATTTTATGAAAGGCTTTGTTCTCATTGTTCTTCAACACAATTTTGTGATGCTGTATGAACCAGAATGAAAGGACGGTTCAAAGTAGCTTTCCCAGCCTTAGAGAATAAGTCATGGAAAGTAGTGGAGCCAGGAGCTCCTGGTTTCCCAGAGTACTGCTCATCTGCCAAGCTGGGTTTCACCTCATATTAACTCCTCTTTCCTTACAGGCCTCAATAACAAACATGTTTATTCTCTGCTTTCATGCTTGGCAAATGAATTTTACTCTCAATTCAGAAATGTTTGTTATAAAAGCCAATAATTAAATTCTTATCCAAAAGCATAAAAATATTATATCTAACTTTTGAATCACATAAAAGTGAACAAGAAAGTTATAAAAATTAGTTTAGACACATCTGCTTCTTTCATCAAATTTATTTTGGCCATTTGATATTATCAAGGATAAATATTATAGTACTATTCTTTCAACTCCCAGAAAATCTTTAGGTTTATCACTTTATGTTGAATTATATCATCCCCTTCTCTTATTTCATTGACTAAACTATTTCTTATAATTCTTTTATGCCCTTCTCCCAGTTACTATATTTTATTTAATATTTATCACTTAAATATTAATTGCATTTCATTGACTTTTATGTTTAGTAGCCTTACTCTCCTAATTTTAGCTAGAATTCAATTGATTTGCTTATAATGAGACATGCCAAGGTGATATAGAATAGTTATTATAGAACCAAGAGAAAAACTTCACATTATCCCTACACAGGGGCATACAGCTCTATCTTTTCATATATCTTTATCCATTCATTCCTTCCTTTAGAAAATATTTACTGAGCACTTATTCTATCCTCATCAACTTGACATTCTAGCCAGATAGACACTACATAACTAATTATTCTATTCTTTATTGAATAACAATTATGAGAAATACTGTTATAAAGAGGCACAGGTATGAGCATTTATAATGTGGCCCAGCCTGGGTGTCGGGGGAAGGGTGAAGAAGATGAACAGGAAGGCAGAAGAAACCGAAGCATGAGGCCTTCACGGTGTGCAGAACATGATGAGTTAGGTGTTCTCAGCTGCAGAAGAGAAACCAAATGATGTCGATGCTTATAAGTGAATTCTTATTTCTCTCAAATGAGACCTCCCAGATCAGTTTGGAAATGTGTGCTGGCAAATGATAGAATACCCCACCCAGACTGTGCTAAGGTAAAAATGGAATTTATCAGCCTTCATGAGAGAGGTGAGCCTGGAGTAGCACCCACCCAACTGGTCCTGGAGGCCCAAACAATGTCATCAGACCTCAATGTCATCACCACTTACTTTCTCTGCCCTCTATTGTGCCAGCTTCATTCTTCACAGGCTTCCCACACCAATTAAGGTTTAGGTTTGCATCTCCAGGTTCAAGTCCAGGAGAAAAGAGAGAGATCTCATTTCTAGCCCTTGCAGAGAAAGTCTAGTGCATCCTACTGATCCTGACTGGGTTATGTGTCCATCCCTGCACCAGTGATAATGACCAGGTAAATGGAATGCTCTCACTGGCCGAGCCAGTGTCACAGGCCACACCTGGTGTTATGGCATCTGCCCCCCCCCCCAAAAAAATCAGGATGCTTCACTTTGTAGAAGGATGAAAGAATTCTGGAGGCAGCATTAAAAACAGATATCCAGTGTTGATTTCTTAAATGCTCTGTACTTTGGTTTTCAACCTTGTTCTGCTCTAATAAAAGTGAGACTTTGGAAAAGACTTATACACTGGAGATAAATAAATCTGTGCAAGGAAAATAACTTTGAGGTCACTGAATTCCTACGAACTGAGATCATTGAAATTCTGTGTCCCAGAGTGCAATATTTATTTCATAAATGTAGATATGGACACATTCTCAGATACTGCTATTACCTTCCTAATTCTGATGCAAGGAGAGCCTTCTCCAGAATCTTTTCCCTCTGACTATAGCTAATGTGGCTATATAGTTTCAAATCTGTTCCTCTACTGTGGAAAATTGCATACTGCTGGGTGTGGTGGTGTGTGCCTGTAGTCCCACCTGAGGCAGGAGGATCACTTGAACTGAAGGTCAAGGCCAGCCTGGGCAATATAGCAAGACCCCTATCTCTAAAAAAAGAAAAGAAAACTGTACATATAATTCTAATTGTATTAGTTTCCTGGGTTATTAGATTCTTTCAACTGAATCTCTTAGACCTTCTGTTATCTCCAATTCAGAAACATCATAATAGATGGGCCAGGTTTAGATGAAAGACTGGCCACAAAAGACTTTGAGAGCCTCCTCCTATATTCCTAAAACTACATTGTAATATTGGATGTGAAAGGATAGAGCTATGACAGCTATCTCCTCATTGATTGCTAAGGTTGACTCACTTGATCTTGCTAGCCAGGCCAGAAGGCAGACCACTTTTAGTTCACAAGTCAACTCTGATCAATTGATAGTGGCTGACTGGAGCACTATGCTGAGAAGATTTTTGAGACTGTACCCAAGCTCCACGAGAAAGAGTGCTGTAATTGATTAGTTATGCCTACCATGAGCGCAGCAATAGGAAGGAGTGGCGTGTGTGCTACCTGTTTGCAATCCCTAAGCTAGGAAGGTTTCCAATTTCTTCTATGCTCTGTATGCATTTCTTTTATAGCTGTGAGCCAAGAAGAAAATGACGCTTGACCTGTCAAGAATATGGGAGTCACTGCCAGGGCCGGCACTAGGGGGAGGCAAGGGAGGTGGACAAGGCACAAAAGGTGGGGAGGCATTCACTCTCAGGGTCAGGTGAGTACAGGATCAGCACTTAACCTTGAGAGTGAGTACCTCCCTCAATTTTGTGCCCTGGGTTTCTCAATTGGTTCACCCTAACCCTGGTCACTGCATTCTCTGCTAGAGGCTCTAAACTCCATAGCGTATGCAGAGGAAAAATGTGTAGAAACAAAATGTTCAGGGGAAAAAAAATAGTTAACTGCTGCATTGCTGTAAAAGTTTCCATAAAGAAGACATTCTCACTTGCTGTTGTCACACATTATAGTTATTTATCCGAAAGCCAAGTCAGTAGTGGCAACGTAGTTCAGAAAAACACCCCAGAAGTCAGAGGTTCACTGGGCTGGTGAAACAACGAGTCTTGTTAACTGTTCATTGGCCTTTGCCTTTAAAAAACTAAGACCCCAGCTGTATGTCCCTTAGGGTTGTTTCACTAAAGTAACTCAACCGATGTTACCTTGAGGTAAAATGTCTTTTATATAAAAACCTCCTCATGGTTAAAAAGAAAAGAAAGTTGTAAGATTTGAAGACCAGTTGCTCAGTGTGTCCTTTCCAAATGAATGGCAGCCGGAAACCCTGGTGGGTGGGATCGCAGACCTGGTGTGAGCACGGCCTGGTGGGGACCTGAACACGGCGTCCTGGTTCCTACACTCGGATGCCTGCGGTCTCTTACCAGTCTGGTCCCCCTGTTCGCTGGGCTCATTCTGTGATCTCTTTCAGAATATTTCTTCCAACGTGCTGGAGGAGTCCGCAGTCTCTGACGACACGCTGTCGCCTGACGAGGACGGGGTGTGCTCCGGCCGGTACTTCACCGAGAGCGGCCTGGTGGGCCTCCTGGAGCAGGCGGCGGAGCTCTTCAGCACGGTCAGTGCCAGGGCCGTCCCCGGGCCGGGCCTCGCGCGCTCCGTCGGGACTCGGGGTGCCGCCCAGTCAGCCCCACCTCCCCGGGACACGCGCCAGGGTGTGCAGGGCCGGGGACGAAGCCGGGCAGGACTTTGATGTACGCAAATTGCATCAGCCCCCGAGGGAGACGAGAGAGCCTTTCATCACAGCAAGGTTCTGGTTTTCGCCCGTGCTCGTTGGCTGGGCAGCAGCTTCGCAGGATTATTCCCACTTAATAGGGGTGGAAACGAAGCCACAGAGAGGTGAAATGGCTTGCCCGCATTACACAACAAACGATGAGGCATGTCTCGCTCCCTCATTTTCCCTCTCGTAGAGAAAGAACGTGGGGCGGAGCCACTGCGGGAGGGGGAAGGAACAGACTGTGTCTTCCCTCCCGACAGCTGAGCAGCCTCCGGGTCATTACAGACCAGCGCCACTCGGAGAAAAGTGGGAGCAGAAATCACCGAGACTTCCCCATTTACTTAACCTGGGCTTAAACATTCCCAATAAGAGAAAAATACCTAGATTAAGCCATTGAGATTCAGGGCAAGAGGAAAAGCCTGTCGTCAATTTTCATTTTAATGTCCTTCCTCCTTTAATTTTTAAACCAAGTAGATATTCAGGACTTCTCTGTATTTAGCTGATCCAAGTTTGTTTTCATCTCCATTTTCTTCTTCGTTTTCTACTTTTCATTTCCAAATTGTCTCCCTATTATGTCTGTGTATTTTAATTATTGTTTTAATTATCTTTTCTTTTTTCCTGCCTTCCCTTTCAGGATTCAGAAAATGGCTAATGTACTCCTGTTTTTCCTCAAATTCAAGAAAATTAATTGGTTAGAATGTTACTAATTCCTTCCAGGCTTTTACATTTAGCATCTGGCTGGAGAAGAACCTCCGATGAAATTTAAATACACTAAAGCTGCCTCACTGAAATACTCAGCCTTTGCTGCTGAACTCGTCTCCTGTTTTTTCACTGAAAACCCTTCTCTCTACTTAACATCACCATACAGAACCACTTAATGATGCATCTAGTTCAGCTTGAATGCTAACAACTGTCCCAAAGATGCTCAGACATCCCTCCTACCTGTAAAATGCTGCGTTGCAACAATAAATGCATTCTCCAGTGCGTTGTTTGGACAGTGAACTCCAATTGCTCTTCTTAAGTTTCCAATGAGTTAAATTCTCTCTGATTCTCCTCTCCTTTTTCCCAGGGAGGCTTATATGAGACAGTTAACGAGGTCTACAAGCTGGTCATCCCCATCCTGGAAGCGCATCGAGACTTCCGGAAGCTGACCTCCACTCATGACAAGCTGCAGAAGGCCTTCGACAACATCATTAACAAGGTAGCTGGGGACCCTGGCTAGCAGGTCCGGTTACCTGGCTGCAGGTGACCCTGTCTTAGAGATGCTTAGCCCTCCTTCCCCTGGGGGGAGTGATTTACCTTGAGCACTCCATTACTTTAGCTCTCACTCATCAAACAGAAAAGGGCTGGGAATAGATAGAGGACCAGAATTCCAAGTGTGAAGAAGGCAGCTTGAATTCCTTTGTAACCAGGAAATGTGAGAATCTTTTAAATTCACTTAAAAGAAGGCCCCGAAATCTTTTGTGGGTTTTTTGGTTAGTATTTGCAAAGTTTATTCCATAAACATTACATTTTTCTTAGGAATGATTTCTGTTTACATCAGTCATTGGAATAAAATACTCTATAACATAGTAAAAGGGGATTGTCAGGAATTATATAACTAAGGAGAGGTTTTCATATTTTGTTCATCAGGATCATAAGAGAATGTTTGGGACTTACTTCCGAGTTGGTTTCTATGGATCCAAATTTGGGGATTTGGATGAGCAGGAGTTTGTTTACAAAGAGCCTGCAATAACCAAGCTTCCTGAGATCTCCCATAGACTGGAGGTAAGAAAAGTGATTCTGTGTGCTTGACATTGTGCACTTTGCAAAAACAAGTTAGAATGGGTCATTACCCAAAATAAGTAAATAATCATAAATCATGGATTCATCATTGATCGCTACATAAATTTTTCCACTTTGCATTTCTAATATGAAGGTAGTAGGTGAGATCTGGTAAAGCAAGATTTGAATAGTTTCCCCCTAAGATCCTATGTATGCTTTTCAAAGTTTGTAAATTTGTATGGCAAACGTTTATTTTCAAGTCTATGCAAAATTCAGTCAATGTCATGTGCTTCCTTATCACCCTTTCCAAATGTTACTAATATATGCTAAGAGATAGGAAGTAATAGAGTTTTTCAGCTTGAAAGCCAGCATCTTGACTTTGAAGGAATCTGGCCAAATTGCTGAATCACCCTAGAGAATGGCGTGGCCATCCTTTTGGTGTCGTTGGACAACGTCTTCCATTCTGATATAGAGCTGCTTGAGGGTAGCTGTATAGAGGACTGTGGCTAGCCCCAACTCAAACCTGCTGTTGACATTCAGTCCATAATGTAACAGAAAAGAATAGCATGTTCTTGGAAGAATAGCTGAAAGGATGGAGGGAAAGAGAAACAGCTCAGAGAAAGATCAGGAAAAAGGAAACAGATGGTGAAAGGCCAAGGACTAAGAACTCAGGAAGAAAGTCTGAGGGTGCCTCCAAAGCAAAACCCTCTCAGACCTAGTGACTGGGGTCTGCTAAACTGCTGACAGTTAACCAAAGATCACTCCTTATGCTCTCTCACTATTATTTTGAATATACGCCCTCTTATGACTGTAAGACTTACAACACTTGTTGCTTCATTGCTCCTTGCACTATCCAACCATGCCGAATAAGACAAGGGACTTTCATCCTTACTTGATTCAAAGATGCCATGCCCCAGAGTGGCTGGCTGAATTGCCCAAAGCTATTCGGCACCTGACAATTAACGCCAGACCACTTGGTTTTCTAATGCTATTTTCTCTACTTAGAATTAAAGGTATGTATTTTGTCTTCCTGTGCACTGTAGTTTGCCACAATATGGGAAGCCTGGTGACCTCCAAGTTCTCAGGGTACAAAGGTGAGAAGTAAATAATGTGATACCCCAAGAGATGCCTCAGGAAATATGATGAGGTTGGTTGAATTACAAGCCAAGCATACGTATTATAGGGAAGCATATATCGGTTGACAGTGCTGAACTTCCTTGTATTTTTATTTTTGTCTCAGGAAATGCTGAACTTTGCTCATTAGCTCAGAAGGACTCTCAATAATCAATGAACAAATTCTACCTTGTGTTTGTTCCAAACTTAATTTCATTTCTGAGAAGACAAAGAGTTACATTTTGTTAAAATAACCTTTATAAACTGTTGGTTCTTCTTACCTAGGGATTTTATGGTCAATGTTTTGGTGCGGAATTTGTGGAAGTGATAAAAGACTCTACTCCTGTGGACAAAAGCAAGTTGGATCCAAACAAGGTATAAAAAAATTTGCAGGCCAGGCGCGGTGGCTCACGCCTGTAAACCTAGCACTCTGGGAGGCCAAGGCGGGTGGATCGTTTGAGCTCGGGAGTTCAAGACCAGCCTGAGCAAGAGCGAGACCCCATCTCTACTAAAAATAGAAAGAAATTAGCTAGACAACTAAAAATATATAGAAAAAATTAGTCGGGCATGGTGGCACATGCCTGTAGTCCCAGCTACTCGGGAGGCTGAGGCAGTAGGATTGCTTGAGCCCAGGAGTTTGAGGTTGCTGTGAGCTAGGCTAATGCCATAGCATTCTAGCCTGGGCAACAGAGTGACACTCTGTCTCAAAAAAAAAAAAAAAATTTGCAAAAATTAACCATCAGGCTCTCAATCCTTTTATTCTACATGAGAACACAAAATGACCTCTTTCATCTGGATGCTCAAAGTCATTTAAACACAGCCAAATATTTTTGTCTAGGGTTCAACTACAGATTGGTCAGATCTGAAAGAAAACAGTCAGACATAGGAATCGTAACAGGAGCTACTGTTTATTAAGCACCAGCTGTGTGTCTGGAACTATTAGGCCCTTTGCATATATCATTTCATTTCATCCTCCCTCAGTCCTTCAAAGTAGGTTTTATTGTTCCTATTTCACAGATGAGAAAATTGAGGCACAGAAAGGGCCAGAAACTTTCCAAGATCATGTGAGTGGCAGAGCCAGTACTCAAACTTAGGGTCTGTTACCCCTAAACTCATACTCCTAACCACTGCTCTTTACTGCCTTTCTATAAAACCTTTAAACTCTCAGTTTAAAGCATGTTTAAAAGGTACAGTCGTCTCACTGACAGCATTTAGTGACACTCTTCTTTAGGCTGCGTGTAAGTACTCCTGTCGGCCAAGCGTAGGATGCCTGTGCTGTTGAGGGAATGATACAAAGGGCTTGGGCTTCCGTTTTCTCACTTAGACACAGGGGTATGGTCCGTTTCACCCCAGACTGGGTGTACTGCAGTGCACTTCTGACGTTCAACACCCGTAGTTAGCATCAGACCCCGCAAGGTAAAGGCTCAGTCCTCCTCAAGACGGCCCTTACTTCAGACATCAGGCTCAACCACACTTCTGACCAGCTGGCTACAAATTTGGGAGTTTCCACAACACCCCTCAGGTTAGATAATTCATTAAAGTGACTCACAGAAGTACTCGCCTATGTACTATACTTACAATTACAGTTTTATATAAAGAGTACACATAGGGCAAGGTCTGGCAAGGTGCACATAGTTTCTGTGCCCTCTCCTGTGAAATCCAGGCACGTCGCCCTCCTGGCACACCAATGTGTTCACCCACCAGCAAGCTCCACCAAATCTCCATGTCCAGAGTTTTTACTGGGGTTTCGTTATGCAGGCATGATTGAACACAGTCTCCAGCCCCTCCCCTCTCTCTGGAGGTCAGGCTGGCCCAAAGTTCCAATCCCCTAATCACATGATTGGCGTTTTTGGTGACCCCTTGGCATCTAAAAGCTGTCTAGGGGCCTGCCAAGAACCACCTCATTAGCATAATAAAGACACACCTATCACTCAGAACATTCCAAGAGTTTTTGAAGCTCTGTGCCGGGAAATGGGAACAAAGACCAGACATATTCTTTAGTATCCCACAGGGTGCTACCTGCCTGCCCAGCCATGCCACAGACAGATATGTTCATGAATGAGCTTTCTAGGCTGGAAATAATGCAAGTGCAAGGATACGGGAACAGACCAACTGCCATCTGGCAGACCTATAAAACAAAAGGTCCAAACTCTTCTCTCAGTTCCATTTTCCAGGGTATTATGAGGATGACGCAAGTAGGGAAGAAATGGCCAAATCTAAGAGATTGTCTTTTCTACATTTTTCAGAACACTTGCTCACTTAAAGACACATTTCCTAGCCTAGGCTTGAAAGCAATAACTGTAGTAAGAGTTGAACTGAACTTCAGACAGAAATGTTTGGGGTCCTTGGAAGATAGGATTGGCCGCGTGCCCACGCTGATCTGTGCACAGCACAAGCTATGTAAAATCACCAGTGACCTCCCTGACACAGAGTGTCCTTTTCCCCTCTTTTAAAACTTCCAAAGTGGGTGTGAGAGCTTGGAATGAGAGTCCAAACCCAAAATTATGACCAGATTTCATTATACTAAATAGTGATTTACAGTCTGAGGTCAGTGACCCCACCCAGCCCCTTCAGTGAGTGGGTGTCCCAGTGTCTATGCTCACTGTCACCGTTTTTTTAAAGAAGCCTTCTTAATAAGTACCCTTCTTCACTGTGTGTGTGTATGGGGCATGGGGCAGTGTTTAAATGAAGTATATGCAGTAAAATTCACTGTTTTGGTATTTAGCCCTATGAGTTTTGACAAACATGTGTAACCACCACCACAATCAAGAGATAGAACAGACTCGTCTCTCCAAAATATTTCCCTGGGCCCTTTCTAGTCATTCTCTACTTTCAGCCCCTGGCAGCCACTGATCTGTGTTCTGTCTCTGTGAGTTTGCCTTTTCCAGGATGTATAAAGTGGAGTCGTGCAGTAAATAAATGGAATCATCCAGCCTTTTGAGTCTGCCTTTTTTCACTTGGCCTAATCCATTTGAGATTCATCCATGTTGTAATGGTTCATTCCTTTTTATTGCTGAGTAGTATTCTATTGTGTGGATGGGCCACCGTTTGCTTGTCGATTCCCCACTTGAGGACGTTTGAGTTGTTTCTAGTTTTCATCTATTATGAATAATGTTGCTGTAGATGTTTGTGGACAGGTTTTTGTGTGGACATATGTTTTCATTTCTCTTGGGTACACATGAAGGAGCAGGATTGCTGGGTTTCATGGTCAGTACAATTTAACTGTATAAGAAACTGCCAACTTGTTCTGTAAAGTAGCTGTACATTTTGCCTTCCTACTATTTGTGTATGAAAGTTCCGGCTGCTCTCCATCTTTGCCAGCACCTGGCATTGTTAGTTTTTTTAGTTTGGCCGTTCATGCTTTCTAGTAAGTGTACAGTGGTCATAGTCATTCCCAAAAGGGAAGTTGGTGTCTCCTGAGTAGCAGTTTGCAAACTCTCATACCAGGGCTTCTGTTGGATCAGTTTGCTCTGCTAGGAGGGGGCAGGCCGTGGGCCTGACTCTTCCCACAGCCACATTCCCCTCTCCTTCTGCTCACAGTCCTTTGTCTCCCTGGGGTTGGGGAGAAGGAATGGCTGCTGGCAGGATTCTCGCCTGTGGCTCTCAGTGTCTGTAGCTTTCCTGAACTGGGAAGGGTGCTGCCACGCTGTGTTCCAGCATGCCCCTCCGGTGCCCCGGGATGGCTGTCTGCAGTATAGCTCACCTCCCCTTCCCTCACCCTGTCGCCCACAGGCCTACATACAGATCACTTTCGTAGAGCCCTATTTTGATGAGTATGAGATGAAAGACCGGGTCACCTACTTTGAGAAGAACTTCAATCTGAGAAGGTTCATGTACACCACCCCCTTCACCCTGGAGGGACGGCCTCGGGGAGAGCTGCACGAGCAGTACAGAAGGAACACCGTGCTGACCACCATGCACGCCTTCCCCTACATCAAGACCAGGATCGCTGTCATCCAGAAGGAGGAGGTAATGGCTCCCAGAAGGCAACGGCCAGCACTGGATGAGGGGAGGACGTGGTGGGGGCCTGGGTGACCTCCCAGCAGGACACACAGACCTGAGCGCTCCTTCATGGCACGCTGGACTAAAAGCAAAAAGGGACATGCCCGAAATATGATAATGTGATTATCCTTTCACTCTCACAGTGCCAGGGAATCCCATTTAGGCAGCTACATATTTTATAGCAGTAGTTTATATTTAATATTTTACAGTTGTATCTTTAGTATAAGTGTTTACATATTTAATTATAAAATCTGATATATTTATATTCCAATTATAAACATGTATGAAATATGTATATTTAAATTTTAAATATTTTATATAAAATTTTTATATATTTAAAAGCTCATAGGTGATTCAAATATAGATGTGTTGTTAATTATTAGAGAAAAGAACCACAAATGTACAGCCCCAGGGAGTTGGTGCTGTGCTGTGGGAAGGGCACGATGCAAAGTAGACAAGTGCTTGCTTCTAGTGCCAGCTTCCTCCTGTGACTTTGCACGAGCTAATTATCTTTAGGCTTTTCATTTATACTTCGGCAGGAAAGACCTCTGTGTACAGTAGAAGACTGTACTCATTTTAATAGGACTGATCAAAAAAAGTCTCTCAAACCACAGAATCATTCAGAATTATACATGCCATAAATATTTTATTTTTCTTTAAAACACATACATGTACACTTATTTGTCATCCTTTTTTATAGAGGGCCACAGACTTCTCTGTGATTATAGGTTGACTGATCACAATTCAGCATTGACTTTCTTGTATAAACCACACCCAGAGTGCATTGTCCATGATATTTTTTGCTTTCTGTAAAGCAGAACAAAGGCTTAAAGATCCTTGTTAAGCAATAGGAGAGCAGAAGGCTTCTGGATTTTTACGATTTTTTCCCCTAGCCTTTTACAGTTGTCTTGTGCACACCTAATATGACAGGAATTTTTATAGCAACTCACTTTCATAATGTCTTGCCCAAGTATCCAGCTTGGATTTTATATAAGCACCTCTTTTTCTTTCCACACATAGTTTATCAGTTTATGCATTATTTAATTAGATTAGGTCATTAGAATAACAAGTATAACAGGCATAATCGAGGTGGTGAACAAACACAGATGAATTGTGGTGAATATACACCTCATTGGGCAGGAGCAGAAGTGGCTGAGCTACCTAGAGAATAGCCCACCAGGTAGTAGTATTCAGCAAAGGAACTGCATCAGAGTGTGGGTTTCCCAGAGAGCAAAGAAAGCCAGACCTAGTGACTCAGTCAAGAGGAGGTAGGTTGGGCTGGGCGCGGTGGCTCATGCCTGTAATCCTAGCTCTCTGGGAGGCGGAGACGGGTGGATTATTTGAGCTCAGGAGTCCGAGACCAGCCTGAGCAAGAGCGAGACCCCGTCTCTACTAAAATTAGAAAGAAATTAATCGGACAACTAAAAATACATAGAAAAAATTAGCCGGGCATGGTGGCGCATGCCTGTAGTCCCAGCTACGCGGGAGGCTGAGGCAGAAGGATCGCTTGAGCCCAGGAGTTTGAGGATGCTGTGAGCTAGGCTGACGCCATGGCACTCACTCTAGCCCGGGCAACACAGTGAGACTCTGTCTCAAAAAAAAAAGAGGAGGTAGATTTAGAAGGCACCTGTTGTACTTCTTATCACTTCGGACTCTTTTTTTTTTTTTTTTTTGACAGATTACCTCTGTCAAGACTCTATCCCAAATAAGATCACACTCGGAGGTACTGGAGATTAGGACTTCAACATATGAATGTTGGAGTGATACAATTCCAGCCATAGCATTCAGAAAGCACCTTACCCCAAACCAGCGTAACCTAGCAACTAGACTGACCTTTGAGAGAATTCCATTTACTAGGAATTCACCTTCAGCGTAAGTTGGAGAAGGCACAAGTGATATCAAAAGCTTGTGTCATGATGAGGAAGAAAATCTTGAGTGCTGTGCTTGTAATAGCTTTCCCAATTGTAAGTCAAGTAACTTGTTCAATGATAAGAAAGGAAATCTGACAATGTAGAAAAAACATGGAGTTTGAACATAGATATAACTATGATCGAATTATGACCTCCCCGCTTACTACCGCTGTCATTTTGTGGAACTTACTTAACCTTACCAATCTCCCTTTGACTGTAAAATGGAGAGACTAAGGAGGGTGTTGAAAGGAGTAAATGATAAATATGTGTAAAGTTCCTGGAACATAATAAGTACTCAAGAAATGTTAAGCCCTTTCTTCTTCTTAACCTATTATGATTATTTCAAATTATTCTGAAAGTCTTTCCTTAGCTGTTTCTACAAATCCAGGTGCCCTCTCTGCCTTAGCTCCAGGTTTATCTGTGGCATATGAGGCCAGACAATGACTTGCCTACATTTATGTCTTATGTTCAGTTTGTTTTGACACCAATTGAAGTTGCCATTGAAGATATGAAGAAGAAGACCCTGCAGCTAGCTGTTGCCATTAACCAGGAGCCCCCTGATGCAAAGATGCTTCAAATGGTGCTGCAAGGCTCTGTGGGAGCTACTGTAAATCAGGTAACAAAACCAGCTGGTGGTGGCTCCTTGGGTTATTATGTTGGTTATCATATACCTGCACCCTCCTTCTTTGGGGTTGATGAGGACTCTGATCCAATACAAACACAGAGATGTTTCTAAACTTAGCCTGAACACTTGTGAGGTTTAGAAGACTTTTAGGATGCCTCTTCTCTTTCATGCAACAACCCAAGGTAGAAAAGAAATCCTAGAGATGAATAGACCAGGAGTACCATTTTCTCAAAGGAGTCTCCACTTTGGGGCCAGACCTGGCAATACGATACAGATCTAGGGGCTGGTGAGGAGTGCTTAGTCATGCCCCATTTAGGCAAAGTCATTCCAGGGCTTGAGACTAACCTACGAATACCTGTAGGAGAGAGGTGAAAGGATCTAGAACATCCAACTCTTGGATCAGTTACCAGATGAACCCAGCACACAAAGGACCTGGCCAACCAGGAGTGACCTGGGACCAGGCATCTTGGGCCACTTCAGACCAGACTAGATCTTCTCAGACTTATTAGCACCCTAACTCCCAAGTTCAGCATGGAGCTGAACGAGTCTCAGTTGGAGGGAGGTACTAGCCCTAGTACTCTCTGGCCTCCTTAATTTCAGTTCTAGATCCGTTCTTATCCACACTCAGATATTCAATAAGCATCACTCAGCACAACTGGATTCCCCTGCAAAAATTCTACTTAACATCAAGGGAGCAGCAATGGCAAAGAGGAGAAATACCTATTGTATTTACAAGATCAGAAAAAATTAGGAAACTTTTGCCTTTGCAAGTGCCAATCCTTTGATGCAAATGGAAGACTTTGTAAGGCCACAACCATGGACTCCATTTGTACTATGGATATCTCTGACTCAAGCCAGCAATTATGCAAAATGCTATTTGCCACTAGGGCAACTAGATGAGTGAATATGAATGGATGGATCAAGGCAAGCCCCATTTTTAGAAAAGCAACTCAAAGTGCATACCCTTTGATGCAGTTATAGTACCTTTATATGTGAAAGAAAACCTATTATTAGTAGTATTTGATTGAGAAAATACATTTGTACTTCTGAATGTTCTCCTAAAACTCTAGACTTCCAAGGAATCAAAGTTTCTTGAGAAGTTCAAGACCTTTCTTGATTTTTTTTGTTTGGTTCAAACCAAGTACAAAATTAAATTTTTAAACTAAGTCACTCCAACATTTTCTCCTAAGTAATTTAATTTTCTTTCCAATATCAGTATTGTTTTTTATTTTTTCCATCAGGGACCACTGGAAGTAGCCCAAGTGTTCTTGGCTGAAATTCCAGCTGACCCAAAACTCTATCGACATCACAACAAGTTGAGGTTATGCTTTAAGGAATTCATAATGCGGTAAGAAGGAAAATGGCTGGGAATTTTATTAAAGCAGTAGTTCTCAAAAGTGTGGTCCCAGACCAGCAGCTTCAGCATCACCTGAGAACTTGCAAGAAAGACAAAGTTTTAGGTATCATCCAGATCTACAAAATTGGAATGTCTGGAGGAGGGACTCAGCAATGTGTGTTTATTTTTTTTTTATTTTATTTTTTT